TTGCCATAGTTTCTCTAGTATTGATTAGTTCCATTTTTAAAATCCCAACTAATGAGATTGGTTAAAATGGTATCTTTCTATCTGATCAAGATGAAGCTAAGTATTTTTCTCAAATATTTGTAAACTAAGTATATTTATTCTTTTGGGAAGAGAACTAGCCCTATTTCCCGCCTATGTATACATAAGACCAGTGTGAATACTATTTTTGTTCATACATATTAATACATATTTAAGCTTTTTATATGGAAGATTTCAAGTAAAACTGATTGCCCCAAAGTTTGGATATATTAGTTGAATTATTCACTTTAACTTTAATATTAAAAATGTTCACAACTTAAAAAATCATTAAAAGATGTAGAATTGCATATTTTAAAATAGTGTTTAAAATATATATTTTGTGAAAACATGTAGACAGTTGCTTAGAAGTGAGAATGGGCAGTTAAATTTCTTGAGAATGTTAGGGTTATATGGAAAACTGTCAAAGGTACTCAGGAATCAGGCTGTGATCGGAGTGTGGGTAGAACACCAGGACGATGAAACCAGTCTATCCTGATAGAACATTCTTAACTCGGCTATCCTTGAAGAGCTGGTGTGGTGTAAAAACAAATGTAAATCAGGAGTCTTCAATTCTAATCTAAACTCTGGAATTAGGCTACTTTGTGACCATTCACAAATTGCTTAATCTTAGGTACTCATGGCTAACTTTGTAACTAAACAAGGGCTCCTGTGCCCATGACTTGGCCCAGAAAGCCAAACTCTGATAGTAAGTGTTTGTAGCAATGTTCTTGCTCAGTTACTCAGTCATGTCTGACTCCTTGCGACTCTTTGGACTATAGCCTGTTAGGCTCCTCTGTCCATGGGATTTTCAGGTAAGAATACTGGAGTGGGTTGCCATTTCCTCCTCCAGGGGATCTTTCCCACCCAGGGATCGAACCTACATCTCTTGCACCCCTCACATTGCACGTGGATTCTTTACCAGCTGAGCCATCAGAGAAGCCTGTTTGCAATAAAGTGAAGGTTTATTTGCAGAGCACCAAAATCTTTCAAGCTAGAACAGTCCGTGAACCAAGGAATTCCAGACGTACAAGCTGAATTTAGGAAAGGCAGAGGAACAGAGATCAAATTGCAAACATCTGTTGGATCATAGAAAAAACAAGAGAGTTTAAAAAAAATCTACTGCTTCATTGACTACGTGAAAACATTTGATTGTGTGGATCACAAAAAACTGTGGAAAATTCTTAAAGAGACGGGAATACCAGATCACCTGCCTCCCGAGAAACCTGTATACAGGTGAAGAAGCAACAGTTTGAACTGGACATGGAACAACAGACTGGTTCCAGATAGGGAAAGGAGTACATCAAGGCTGTATATTGTTACCCTGATTATTTAACTTATATGCAATTATAGGCTATATATTGTCCCCCTGATTATTCAACATCATGCAAAATGCTGGGCTGGCTGACTCACAAGGTGGAATCAAGATTGTTGGGAGAAATATCAACAGTCTCAGATATGCTGACACCACTCTAATGTCAGAAAGCAAAGAGGAACTAAAGAGCCTCTTGATGAAAGTGAAAGAAGAGAGTGAAAAAGCTGGCTTAAAACTCAACATTCAAAAAACTAAGATCATGGCATCCAGTCCCATCACTTCATGGGTAAGCAATGGGGAAAAATGGAAACGGTGACAGATTTTATTTTCTTGGACTCCAAATAGATGGAAAAAAACTGGAAACAGTGGCAGATTTTATTTTCTTGGGTCCAAAATCCCTCTGGACTGTGACTGCAGCCAGGAAATTAAAAGTCACTTGCTCCTTGGAAGAAAAGCTATGACAAACCTAGACAGTGTATTAAAAAGCAGAGACATTACTTTGCCAAAAAGGTCTATGTAGTCAGAGCTATGTGTTTTCCAGTAGTCATGTACAGATGTGAGAGTTGAACCATGAATAAAGCTGAGCATCGAAGAATTGACGCTTTCAAATTGTGGTGTTGGGGAAGACTCTTGAGAGGAGAGCAAGGAGATCAAACCAGTCAAACCTAAAGGAAATCATCCCTGAATATTCATTGGAAGGAGTGATGCTGAAGCGGAAGCCGTGATATTTTGGCCACTTGATGCGAAGAGCTGACTCATTGGAAAAGACTCTGATGCTGGGAAGGATTGAGGACAGGAGGAGAAGGGGCTGACAAAGGATGAGATGGTTGGATGGCATCACTGACTCAATGAACATGAGTTTGAGCATACTCCAGGAGATAGTGAAGGATAAGGAGACCTGGCACGTTGCAGTTCATGAGTTTTCAGAGTCAGACACGACTTAGAGGCTGAACAACAAGAAAGGGAGTGGGAGACAAATCTCTGATCCATCTTGATCTTTGAGTTAGGGATGTCTTGAAGGGGAAAAACAGAGAAACTGGAAGTGATTATTGTCTTATGACATTTTATAATCATGGTATTGGGAGTAAGAATGTGTCTGGTTTATGATTTTCTGGGCAGGTGGTCCATGGCTTGGGGGTCTGTGAGCTCATCTTGCCTGGAAAAACAGCCTGAGTTTGTTTGTTAATGATGGTATCTACAGTAGCAGTTTCAGTGCAGTAAAGATGTTATCAACAATAGCAATCTTAGTCATCTGACTTTAATTAGTGTTCAGTTAGCATAGAATTGAGGGACAAGAAAGGGATTGAGGTCAGAGGAGACAAGTAAAGGAATAAAGTATTAGATAGAGAGATTAACCATAAACTCAGTAAGGGAATGCTGTTTTAGGGGGTCTTGATTTTAATATTATTAAGTTCTCTCCAACTCTAAAAATGTCTGTTTTTATTATCCAGAGGACAAAATGCTATTTTTGTGAATCTAGTGCTATTGTTGCAGATAGCTGCAAATAGGTCTGGAAAACAATTCATTCTTTATAGGAAATTTTTGAGGAGAATAATAGGAAAATTCCCCATAGGAGCTGAATTTTTTAGGGAAAAGTCAATCCCAAATCCTAGATTATATTCTTTTGATATGTTAAAAATGGTAAAATTAAGCTACTTTTATGCCACGTTGCCTCAGCCAGAGAACTGTATATGCAGTGTTTTCTCTTTCAATATTGCCAAACAGGTTGGATAAATTTAAAGAGTATGGGGAATTCCCAGAAATGGCAGGGACCCAACAGAAGCAGAAGATGTTAATAAGAGGTGGCAAGAATACACAGAAGAACTGTACAAAAAGATCTCAATGACTTAGATTACCATGATGGTGTGATCACTCATCTAGAGCCAGACATCCTGGAGTGAGAAGTCAAGTGGGCCTTAGAAAGCATCATTATAAACAAAGCTAGAGGAGCTGATGAAATTCCAGCTGAGCTATTTCAAATCCTAAAAGATGCTGCTGCTAAAGTGCTGCACTCTATATGCCAGCAAATTTGGAAAACTCGGCAGTGGCCACAGGACAGGAAAAGGCCAGTTTTCACTTCAATCCCAAAGAAAGGCAATGCCAAAGATTGTTCAGACTACCACACAATTGCACTCATCTCACATGCTAGCAAAATAATGCTCAAAATTCTTCAAGCTAGGCTTCAACAGTACATGAAGCAAGAACTTTCAGATGTTCAAACTGGATTTAGAAAAGGCGGAGCAACCAGAGATCAAATTGCAAACATCCGTTAGATCATAGAAAAAGAAGAGAATTCCAGAAAAACATCTACTTCTGCTTCATTGAAGATGCTAAAGCCTTTGTGTGGATCACAACAAACTGTGGAAAATTCTTAAAGAGATGGGAATACCAGATCACCTTACCTGAGAAATGTGTATGCAGGTCAAGAAGCAACAGTTAGAACCAGATGTGGAACAACGGATTGGTTCCAAACCGGGAAAAGAGTATGTCAAGGCTGTATCTTGTCACCCTGCTTATTTAACTTATATGCAGAGTACCTCATGCAAAATGCCCGGCTAGATGAAGCACAAGCTAGAATCAAGATTGCCGGGAGAAATATCAATAACCTCAGATACACAGATGAAACGACCCTTATGGCAGAAAGCTAAGAGGAACTAAAGAGCTTCTTGATTAGAGTGAAAGAGGGGAGTGTAAACACTGGCATAAAACTCAACATTCAGAAAACTAAGATCATGGCATCCGGTCCCATCATTTCATGGCAAATAGATGGGGAAACAACAGAAACAGTGACAGACTTCATTTTTTTGGGCTCCAAAATCACTGCAGATGGTGATTGCAGCCATGAAATTAAAAGATGCTTGCTCCTTGGAAGAAAAGCTATGACCAACCTAGACAGCATATCAAAAAGCAGAGAAATTACTTTGCTGACAAAGGTCTGTATAGGCAGAGCTATGGTTTTTCCATTAGTCATGTATTGATGTGAGTTGGACCATAAAGAAGGCTGAACACTGAAGAATTGATGCTTTTGAACTGTGGTGTTGGAGAAGACTCTTGAGAGTCCCTTGGACGGCAAGGAGATCAAACCAGTCAATCATAAAGAAAATCAATCCTGAATATTCTTCGGAAGGACTGATGCTGAAGCTGAAGCTCCAATATTTTGGCCACCTGATGTGAAGAACTGAGTCATTTGAAAAAACCTGATGCTGGGAAAGATTGAAGGCAGGAGAGAAAGGGCTGACAGAGGATGAGATGGTTGGATGGCATCACCTGCTCAGTGGACATGAGTTTGAGCAAGCTCTGGGAAATGCGCAAGGACAAGGAAGCCTGGCGTGCTGCAGCCCATGGTATCGCAGAGTCGGACATGACTGAGCAACCGAATAACGACAACACATGGAATTTCTTAAGCCTGACTATTGTCTAAATAAAGAGATTACTCAGAGAGGAAAAATTAGCTAGCTGCACAAATCTTCCAGGATTTTAAGAGAAGTTATTAGGCAATCATAGTCTTGAGCGAATAAACTGGGTTAGTTAAAAGTCACAACTGAATGTTAGCCCTTGTCTTGCCTGAGAAAGCTGGTATGGGCAGTTTCTAAACCAAGGGAATCTGACTGTTCTGTGTTCGATTTGTTAGGTCTGGCTCAGTGTGCTGAGCTCTGCGGGCGGCTGAGAGGGGAAGCCGGAAAAAGGCAAGTTCCCGGTGCAAAGGTTGCTCTGCGGCATAATTTAGGCCTCGGAGGAGCTGCCGTTGTCACGCTGTACAAAATGGGCTTTCCTGAAGCTGCCAGGTAAGTGGCATTCTAGTTTTGTCAGGCAATGAACCCTTCTGATTTTTCACAAGCAATGACGTTGTACATGTTAAAAAAAAAAAAAAAAAAAAAAAAAGNCCACATACATGTTAAAAAAAAAAAAAAAAAAGAAAAAGTCCTGCTTTTGTTGTCTCAGTACTCAAAGAACAAGTATCTCATTACCCTTGCTTTAATAGCATGGCTTCAAAACTTTAAAGATGGTAATTAACTTACAAACTTAACCAGCCTTAGGAAAATTTTATTCAAAAAGGAGGCAGCATAGTCAAAAGAGAATGTTGAACCAGAAGCTAGAGCTGGCTGGACACTTATCTCAGCCTTGCCAACCTGAGTAATTTTAATTTAGACAAGTCATTTTTGGTTTCCTTTCCCACAACCTATTTTCTCCCCATAGTGTCCCAGGCTTCTGAGGTTGTTTGGAGAAAGTCCTCAAATATGCTGATTGTATCTCTGCAGATTTATGTTTATGAATCCAGCTAAGCCCTCACTGCTGCTAGATTCCCGCTAGACTCCTTTTTATTCACCTCTTGCTGATTTACTTCCTGCCCTTGTCAAATGCCTGTGTTCCTCAAATATCCAAACACTTTTTTCCCAAGATTTTTCAGGATCCCTCAACTTCCTTACTCTTCTCTCAGAGAAGTGCTTATCCTTTTAGAGAAGGAAAAAGCCCCTTTTCCTTTCCAAGGCACAGCTTTTCTTTGCTTCCTTTTGTTTCCAGTCATTTTCTGTAACTTTGTTCCAAATAATAAGTATACTCTCCTTTTTTTGACTCTTTTCCTTGTTGCCTTTCTATTGAGTCCTTTCCCTCTGTCAGCAAGCAAGTTCAGATCTTCAAATCTTCTGTGTTCTAAAGCTCAGTTTTTCTCGCTACGTTAATTACTTTTTTTTTTTTCATGATGAGCCTTTTATATTGAGCCACTTTTGTTTCTACTCTGAAATGTCTTTAGTTTCTTATCCCACCATTGAGATCAGGCAAGGCCATCAATGGTCTGATTATATATGTTCTTGTTTTTATTTTCCATCTTCATTCTCTTTAACCTTGTGGTAACTTTCAACACTAATTCCTTAGCCAAGGCTCTAAGTTCTGCCCAAGTCCAGAGACAGAGTGCTAGCAGCCTTTTATAATTTACAAGCTTCTAGATTCCAGTCAAAATAAGCATTCCTTTCAGTCTGTTTGATCTTACCATCAGGTTTTTCTAACAGTGTACACAAAAATAGCAGTTTTGAAATATCAGAAAAACCCCAATTTGGCCATTTTAGATTGCTATTTCCTTTAGTATAGTTTTCCTAATTAAGCACTTGCAAACATGAGCTCCATACGTATTGTACATGAATCTGGCTGGGGTGTTAGTGGGAGGTTTAGCTAGCATAAAAGCTGATAGCACTGTCTCTGACTTTCTCCCGCTCTGCCCTGCCAGCATCCTCTTCTATCAAAATTGCCTGGCCAAGATGCTATCTCTTTTGCTCTTCCAAATCTTCTGCCCCCTGTTGCCCTCTCCTTCCCAGTAAAGAAAATAAAAAATGAATCAGAAGTGTTTGTGATTCCCTTTAAGGAGAAACCTATTACAGGGAGAGCTGAATTGTCCTTGGTACTTACATACACACCCTGGACCCAAGTAGAATATAGAGCCTTGGTTAAGGAATTTCCCAATTCAAGTCAGGATCCATTGGGATTTGCTAAGGAGATTGAGTTAAATATCCAGACCTATGAGCCAAGGTTTTCAGATCTATATCAGTTAATACAGCTCTTAGTTTCTAAGGCAAAGCAAGGAGTGGATAAAGAAAGCAGAATGGGAACACCCCCTTAATGGATTTTGAATCAAAGTCTCACACCTTTTGCAAGGAATTAGCTCAGAAATTACTCGAACTTATTCCAGAACTTTCCCCCAAACCCATTGATTGGACAAAGACTCAACAGTGCAAGCAAAGATCAGATGAATTAATTCTGGACTATTATGAAAAGTTTGAAAAAAATATAAGCTGTATTCTGGCTTGAGACCTGAATAATTCTCTAACCAACAAAATGATCTTCTGCTTGACTCCACGTTTTTAGGAGGCTTTGATAAGGATTTAGCTAGTCTAGTCAAAAGACACAATCTAGATCGGTCCGAGTTACAACACACACCTTTGTTACTGGCTAACCAAATTTTCAAGACCATAAAAAAGAAATAAAAGGGGGTATCTATGAAAATGGAAGCCCTTATGTGAAAATTAAGAGTGTTCAATTGTGCCAATTAAATACACAATGCCAGTTGAAGGTTAACTGATCTCTGTTTAATTCCCAACCCCTAAAGAAAACTAGTTTGAAGGAAAAAAAAAAATCTTTTCAGAATTCTGGCCCTGAGGGAAAAAGTCCTACTAGGAAAATTTGATTTTCTCTCCCTGTGACTTTAGATCAGAGCTCTCAGAATCTGATTGAAGGGGAAAAAAAGGACAGAAAAAAAAATTCCTTTTTAAATTTAGCTTATTCCATCTGCTACTTGTAGCTAGTGAGTTTTATATTGTGTATATTTATACTGTGATATCTGATTCATAACTAAGTTTAGAAAATGAAGTTAGCTATGAGATCTCTTGTTATGTCTGTCTATATGTTCATGTGTACATTATCTTTGCTTTTACCTTTGGATGATATTATCAAATTCATTGTCAATGAGCTCTACTTAACTGGAGTCAAGGAAATTAAGTCCTTAGATAAATTCTGAAAAGTATAGGAAGTAATTGGCCAAAATTAATTTCAGGTTCACATGAATTGGGAAATAGTATTGTTAATAAATTAATATCTGGAATTAATGTTTAAGTTTGTTGATCTAATTAATATAGACATGACTTTAGAATCATCAACATTAAGTATACTTTGATTGTGCCTAGGTTTGATAAAAGTTAAATAGAATCTTCTTGTATTCATAGCCAATTTGTCAGCAAAGGAAGTAACTTGATGTAAAGAAACTTTTAAGGAAAGAAAATGTAAATGAGATAAGAGCTTTTAGATAAACTCTATTAAAAATAATTATGCTTTTGGAATGTCTATCTAAAATAGTCTCTCCAGATTCTGGTAACTTGAAATTCTAGGTGCTAAATTAACTGATGGAAATTTGTTGAATAGCTAGGTCATTCCCACATAAAATAAGGTACTGAAACATTAATTTCTGAACATTGGCTTCCTTTTACAGAGAAACTAAAGGCATTTAGGACTATTATTAATGAAAATTCTTGGTGTTATGCTCTTTATAAGAAAGAAAATGCTTTTAGAAATTATTACTGGTATTTATGTTCACCAATCTAAATAATACTAATGTAAAGGACAATTCATAGTTGCTTACACCTTCAGTTTCATAAGAAATTAAGATTTTAAGATCTGAGACCTTTAATTTAAACATGTAATTAAAGCTGACAAAAACAATAAAGGGAACATTTTAGTATACAGTAGGAAAGTAGAATGTTTTCCGTAAAGAAGGTATGAGGAATGGAATTGCATTTTATTAAGGGAAAAGGAGGTAACCTATCCTGGTGGCTCAGTGGGTGAAGAATCTGCCTGCATTGCAGGAGACACAGGAGATGGGGGTTTGATCCCTTGGTTGGGAAGATTCTCCTGGAGGAAGAAATGGCAACCCACTCCAATATTCTTGCCTGAAAAATCCTATAGACAGAATAGCCTGGCAGGGTACAATCCAAAAGGATCACAAAGAGTCAGACAGAACTGAGCGACCAAGCATATATAAGCACATGTGCACTGTAGCATAAGGGAAAAGGAGGTAGGTATGACTTTGAGCTCGCTATCTCTGGATGGATAGAGAAAGTGATACAGTGATACACTGATGGATACAGAAAGTGATAAAAGGTTTGTGGAAAGTAGACCCTGAGAAAAGTTTTGTGTATGATCAGGATTGACTAAGTTTAAAATAAATTTAATTGAGTAAATGAATTTTAAAAGTAAATTGGTGAAAAACTTAAATCCAGCATTTTCTGTCTGCTAAGAAAACAAGTTTTCTTAAGATGTCAAACTGCCTTTGATAACAGATTTTAAGTTTCCCTACCTTTTAAGTGATCTGTTCTGTATTTACCTTTGAAATCTTTTACTGTTACTTTAAGTGAGTAGCTATTGTTTCACAGTGACCTGTGATCCTGTCTGTCTGAGTGTTCTAAACCCTCTTGATATTTATTGACAAAACTTCCTATATAAAATTCTAATGAAGTCCTCTTGATGTCTAGTCAACTTTAGGATGCTTCAGAATCTCCCTGAAACATCCTAAAGAGAGATATTCAACTAATTAGCTTCATTTGATATATTCAATTACATGGGAAGTATTATCAAATGAGTAATAAATCTTCTTAGGTTATTTTGTATGGTGAATATTACTAATATAGGTATTCTATAAATTTTATGAAATTCCTAAAGCTTAAAAAAAAAAAGAAATTCCTAAAGCTTGAAACCTAGTAAAATGTTGTCAGTCATAAATCTAGTCGTTATCTTAAAGTGTTATATGTCACATCTTATAACAGTTTGTCAACTGCATCATAATCAGATTTTAAACATGCCTTAAGTCTTTTATCATTATAGACAACTATGGTTTTATTCTAATACCTTTGCAAAAACACTCCCTTTATAACAAGATGTATAGAATGGACTTCTGGATAATTAAGAGTGTTCTGATTTTCAGACCTTAATGCTGAACTGGGTAAGAAATGAAAGAATTCTAATGGAAAACCTGATGACTTCATAAAATTGTTAGCAAAAAGGATTAACTACATAGGACTTAGTGAACTGGTGAATATGGTTATAATTTTTATGGTTTGTATCTGAAAAATTACTGGCTTGAATATATATTTTCCAGGTAAAAGGAAAACCTTCCCCTCAAAATAATTATGACTTATAGCAATTTGGTAAGTTATACCTTTGTAAGCAGAATTTAAACATTATCTTTTCTCTCTATCTGCTCCCTCCAGAGACTGGAAACTCTTGGGTTCCCAGTAGCCTCATCAGA